TTGTTGGTGTTCTGTTTTTCTCGTTGGTTGTTTGTGTTAGTTTCTCGTTGGTTGTTTGGTTTAGTTTGTGGTTTTTTTGTTTTTTTTTTTGTTGTGTGTTTGGTTTGTCCCTATAGGCTCGAGTGCACCTTTATTCTCCTGTTGGGAGCGCACTCGAGTATTCTCCTGTTGGGAGGGTCCTTTAGTAGTTGTTTGTAGTTGTTTCGTTCGTGTTTTGTGTGGTTGGTATTCTCGCGTTGCGAGCTGAATTCCGTTTAGGTTGCAGTGGTGATATTGTAACCTCGCAGTTACTCAGGATTCGGGCTTTGCTCGTGTACATTGCCATTTGGCGTTTTTAATGAGAATTTTATGTCGTTGGAAAAAAAAAATGAAAAAAGTTAAAAATTTAGGCCTTATCGTGACATAATAACAAAAAGTCAAGCCCTACAATGAAATTTTTCCCCATGCTACGTGGATCGTTCACGCATGATTTGGTTGAAAAATAGTGGAAGTTAAAACTCTATTGAGTTCATGACCACTTGTCGAGGAAACTTAATTATACACATTCAAATAATCATATAAACTTGTACAAAATAAAAAAATACTCATAGAAACTAATGCGAGAGTGATCATGGGTCATTTAAACAATTAAATCAATTAAAAACATTTTCAATCTCATAGAAACTAATGCGTGAGTGATCATAGGTCATTTAAACATAATCTGAGACCGAAATTTGTGTTTTTATATGTTCGTTACAAGTGGTACTGAAGACCCAATATCAAGTACTGCAATAATATAAAACTGGTACTATCTTACTATATGTTTGGTACTACGTTCTGTAAATGTTGATCAAAACTGAAATAATCCATTTTCGTTCACAAAAGTAGGTACTAAACGATAAAAAAGAGGTACCGCGTAGAAGAAGATGTGGTATTGTTTTGTCTAAAACAGGTACTATTTTAAGAATTGTGATTTCTCTTATCCTTCATGTATACCATGACACGTGGATCGTTCACGCATGATTTGGATGAAAAATAGTGGAAGTTAAAACATATAGGTAGATTTTGAAGTAGTCGTGTATGATGATTCTATGAGATGAAGTGTGTCATTCAAAGAAATGAAGTGTATTAGTAGTGTTTTTTCATTAGTGTGTTGAGTTCGTGATCAATTTGCGATTAAACTTAATTAAACACGTTACAAATCTCATAGAAACTAATGAGAGTGTGATTATTGGTCATATAAACATCATTTGAGTCTGAAACTCGACGTTTTTTTATGTTCATCAGAGTTGGTATTAAAAGGACAATATCGGGTACTGAAACACCATGAAGCTGGTACTATCTTACTCTAGGTCTGGTACCAATTATTCCAGGGTCAACCACAATTGAATAATCCATTTTCGTTGACCAAAAGTTGGTACCATTTTAATAAAAACAGGTACTAGTCAGAGAAAGAAGTTGTACTATTGTTGTCAAAACCGGTACCAAATTACTAATCGTGATTTCATTAATTCGTCATGTCTAACATGCCACGTGGATCGTTCATGCGTGATTTGATTGACAAATAGTGGAAGTTAAAAACATATAGGTAGAATTTTGAGTAGTCATGTGTGATCATTCAATGAGATGAAGTGTGTCATTCAATGAGATGAAGTGTATTTAGTAATGTTTTCTCATTAGTGTGTTGAGTTCATGATCAATTTGCAATTAAAGTTAATTAAAGACGTTACAAAATCTCATAAAAACTAATGTGAAAGTGATAATGATTCATATAAACATCATGTGAGACCGAAATTATGTATTTTTTTATGTTAATTATGTATTTTTTTATGTTCGTTGATGTTGGTACTAAAGAGCCAATATCTGGTATGGAGACACCATAAAACTGGTACTATCTTACTGTAGGTCTGGTACCAATTATTGCAAATATTGACCACAATTGAATCATCCATTTTTGTTGACCAAAAGTTGGTACCAATTTAATAAACACAGGTACTACTCAGAGAATAAGCGGTACTATTGTTGTCAAAATTGGTACCAAATTACTAATCGTGATTTCATCATGTCTACCATGTCAGGTGGATTGTTCACGCGTGATATGGTTAACAAATACAGTTAAAACATATAATTAGAATTTTGAGTAGTCATGTATGATCATTCAATGAGATGAAATGTGTCTTTTAATGAGATGAAATGTATTAGTAGTGTTTTTTCATTCGTGTGTTGAGTTCGTGACCAATTTATGATTAAACTTAACTAAACACATTTTAAATCTCATAAAAACTACTTTGAGAGTGATAATGGGTCATATAAACATCATTTGAGACCGAAATTCGGTGATTCTTTTATGTTCGTCGGAGTTGGTACTAAAGACCTAATATCTGGTACTAAAACACCAAAAGCTGGTACTATCTTACTTTAGGTCTGGTACCAATATTTGCAAATGTTGACCAAAACTAAAGTAACTCATTTTCGTTGACCAAAATTATGTACTAATTGATTGAAAATAGGTATTACACAGAAGAAGAAGCAGTACTATTTGTGTCAAAACTGGTATCATTTTAGTAATCGTAATTTTTTTAATCCTCCATGTCTACTATGTCATGTGGATCGTTCACGTGTGATTTGGTTGAGAAATAGTGGAAGTTAAAACATATATGTAGAATTTAGAGTAGTCATGTATGATCATTCAATGAGATGAAGTGTGTGTTTTAATGAAATGAAGTGTATTAGTTGTGTTTTTCATTAATGTGTTGAGTTCGTGACGAATTTGCGATTAAATTAATTAAACACGTTTTAAATCTCATAGAAACTAACATGAGAGTGATAATTGGTCATATAAACATTGTTTGAGGCTGAAGTTTAGTGTTTTTTATGTTTGTCGGAGTTAGTATTGAAGACCCGATATCTGGTACTAAAACACCATAAAGCTGGTACTATCTTACTCTAGGTCTGGTACTAATTTTGAAAATATTGACCAAACTTGAAATAATACATTTTCGTTCTTTCTACAAAGTAGATACCAATTGATCTGGTAGTGCATAGAAGAAAAAGTGGTACTTTTTGTGAAAAAACATGTACCATTTTACTAAATTCGTTTTTATTTTATTTTATTATGTTCGTCGGAGTCGGTACTGAAGACCCGATGTCTAGTACTAAAACATCATAATTGCGGTACTATCTTACTCTTAGGTCTGGTACTAATATTGAAATTTTGACCAAAGTTGAAATAATCCATTTTTTTTTTGTTTTTTATACAAAGTATGTACTAATTCATCAAGAAATGGTACTGCATAGAAGAATATGTGGTATTATTTTTGTAAAAATTGGTACCATCTTACGAAATTCATTTTTTTTTTTTTTTTTT